TCAATTTCGTTGTTTCTACTTTTAGAGATAGTTAAGCCCTGGGACTCTACAAGTCATTTTATTCTCCACAGAGCCCAGCAGAACTGTCAGAGCAGCTCCTGGCAGCAATGGGTTAGAGAATTCAGAGCCTGCGCACTGCTTTGTGAGGCTGGAAGTTCACGGAGGTGTGGTCTTCAGGCCGAATCATTTGATTCAGCCAAATACCAATGAAACATTTGAATTCTTTTCTGGGCCTAAATTGGGTCAAATTTTTAAAGCCCTTAGTAGATCCACTTCCTCGAGGAAGATAGGTAAATGTTTAAATTGTTGTTAAACGGTAAAAATAATAAACTAGCTCTTTTGTTAAAATAATTTATATAATAAAAAAAAAATAACAGTGATAATTCACCTCCCAAAGAGGATTCTTTCCAGGCTCCTGAGGAGGCGGCGGCAGCATCCTCACCTCAGAAGTCTGAGGACCCATTCTGAGGGGCCCCTGCTCTGCCTTTTCAGGTTCTGAAGACCCTCCCCAACCTTGCTTCCTTAATCACTGGGAATAGATACTTCCTGCAGTTGCTGTTAGAGCCTTGACCTTTTGTTTTGTTTTGTTTTTGTTTGTGTGTTTGTTTTGCCTTTTTAGTCTTCTACAGTCTTTTAAAACAATTTCTTAAATTAATTCCCTCCAATTTTCCTGACTGGACTCTAACTGAAGCTATCAAAATTTATACAAATATCCTGTAAAGTAATTCGTTCTCCATCTAGGGAAGAAATTTGAAGAGAAGTTTTGTAAATACAGGTGGATGTAAAAAAAAAAAAAACCCAACATCTTCCAACCATCCCCATTCATCAAGGGATTTAACTTTATGAAGAAAAGTCCTCAGAAAATGTGATTCAGTAGATGTTACCAGTTGATTTAAATATGGATAATTTGATTCTATTTTTATAAACATGTAAGCTTTGATGTTCTCTGAAGTGTTGTGTACTTAACTATAATGATTTTGTGTTCTTGACGGATGATGAAATTATCAGTGTAAAGTACTTAAAACTTAGTGTCTGAAACTATGGTACACTGATGGAAAAGGCTTCCCCAGTGAGCTTGAAAATGGCCACGTGGTGATGGAAGGTTCCACTTTTCATCCTGGTTGTTTCGAAACACAGTTCTTTGTGCTCTTGAGTTAGGACTTTATTTGGAAAACTGTACATTTAAGGAACTGCAGTATGAAGGAATATCACTGACTTGTGAGTCATAGCAAAAGGAAGAGATGTAAACGTGTCAAGCTCACGCTGCAAATTAAACAATTCACTGTTTGAAACACTATCTAGCATTTGGTAATCAGTAAAATGAGCATGTGTTAGATTTGAATGAAATTTCTCTCTCTCTCACTTTCTCTCTCCTGTGTTCTTTCCTTCCTTTGCTCTTGGGTGACACTAGTCTGTGCTGTCCCTCTGAGATCATAGCAATGATAATACAAAACTGATACCCCCTCCCAGAGCCAATTCTCTGGTGACTGACTGTAATCTCTTGGTGGCAGCACGCTGAAGGTGGTGAAAGGACACGCCTGTCAAAAACAGGACACAAAGTCCTGCTGCCTCCAGAGGCATGTTTTGTGCATAAATGCTGATGACAGCGCAGTTTGCAAGGAACCTGCCTAAGGCCATGTGGGCCCAAGTGCATCACTCACTGGAGGGAAATGAGCAAGGAGGAAAGTGAGGGGCACAGGGCTCATTTGCCTGGTAAGAAACCACAGCACGTCAGATAATTCACCTTTCAACCACATTAGCTCCGAATTACCTAATAAGCCCAATTTTGTTAAAGCAAAGGAAACTATATTAAGAGAGACAAAAATTAGCTCTATTTCTTTTTTCTTTTTTTACTTGCTATTTTGTCATGCTCAGAGACACCACACTTAAAATACTGACCTGTAAAAATAAGTCTGGATCATGTGTTTCAAAACATTGAGATTCCAAAGAGGCAATGACAGGAGGACCCACAGAACAGCTTTCTTAAATCTATTTGCAAATAATTTCCCTTACTTAAGAAACTATTGTATGAGTGAGATTTACCAAAGTAAGATTAAAAATCATTGGTTTGGCTGAAATAGCCCCAGAAGTGGAATGTTCGGAATATGTCACCAAAAATGAAAGAAAACCATGCTTGATAAACAGGTGTGACATGTCCTCTCCTATTTCTTTTTCTCATTTATTGACAAGGCACTGTTGAACTTGTTGAATATTTCCCATTGTTATTTAAGGGAAATATGTATACACTAATATAATTTTAGGCATTTAATACTTGAGGAAAAAATTATTACCTCATTTCTTTTTTTCTTAAAATTCTGAAAAGCTTTTACATTTTCATGATCATTATTTCTGAGTCCTTAGTCTGCTTAATTAGTCTGTAATCTTTACCCCTAAAGAACTACATTTGAACTAAAAACTATAAGGTTCTTGTTCTTCTCTACAGAATTGCTGGCAAGTGTTTCTTTCTACCTTCTAGAAGAAAATAACTCATAATTTCCCAGGCTTTCCTTACATGATTGTTTGTAATGCTGTTTTTGTAGTAATTAATTGAGTCCTTTGCTGATGCTTGGGGGATGTGTTACTGGTAAACAGAGCAAATGGTACAACGATATGCAATCGTAAAAGTGAGATACTATAGAGGGTTTAATAATAACTGCCGTGTACATATTTTTTGAAGGTAAATCTCCAAAGGAAAGAATCTCTATTCTGTTAAGTTTTTATATAAGAGACAAAACTCCAACACCATTTGATTTCCTAGCAGTTCTTTTTCAACAGAGTGGTAGGCCAGCAGTCATCTATGTGTTTGGTTACTTGCTTTTGTAATTTTTGGCCCAGAGCTTGAGCTATAAGTAACAATGGGCACATTGCATGAATGCATGGCATACTACCTGAGTGTGGGCCACACCTACAAATCAGATGTTACCCTTAACTGCAAACCATGGAATCTTAACTGCTTGTACCCCTACATTAATCTGAAAATTTTTTTTAAAAAGATATGTGTTTAAAATTATTCTTATCTTTGATATTAACTTAGCAATTCACCTATTGGATAACTTTTAAAATAAACATGTGTGTCTTACTCTATCTTCTTGTCTTAATCTAACCCTTAAATGTTTAAATATTCCCCTAATAGTTTGAACTATGCAACAGGAATGTGAAAAGATATTGTTCATTTCTAGAAGTCGTTTAATTCCACTTTTTAAAAAAAGAAATTCACCTTATAAACCTCAATCAGATTTTCAAAAATGAAATTAAAAACTTTAAAAGTTGTATAATGAAGTATACTATTTTGAACAGAGAATGCTGTATCTATGCTTATATAGTGACAAATGCTTAAGTAATTCTGTAGTAGCTCTTAGCTAGCTCTAGAATTAATTTCGACAAGAATGTTAAAGTTGATTGTCAGTTTTCATTATTTTCAGCCTCAGAGCTTAGGAACCAAAGTGAGAAATAAATAAATCACTTGTGCTGTGTGTTCTGCTTCAGAGTCTTTGCTGTACAGAGGAGCTGAATCAATCTGTGTCCTTTTTACATTTTATTTCTGTATGATTTCGTTCCTCAGCTTCAACCTGACTGCATAATATTGGATTGGTACAATTAAACATTATCTGAAGAAAAGTGCTAATCTGAGAAATTTTATTACTATATCCAGAGCACATAAAAGGTGCCATAATATTAAGATTTCAGGTAATACACAGGCATTGGAAATAATGGCTGGTCTATTACAGTAAATAGTGGAAATACTATTTTCAAAGGTGCTTGTATTCTCATTAATGTCTTTTCAGGTAAATATAGTGAGGACGTGGGATCAATTTCCCCAACAGACCAGGGAGCTTTAGTCTAGTCTCAGGCCAAAGTTCGCTTTGACTAGCCTTAGCTCTCACAAATGCTTGTCATGGGTCATCAGAATTACGTAGGACATGCCCAGCTCTGACAATGGAAAAACAAATAAAAGCCTATGTCATACTCTGGGTGAGTCGGTCTCATTATTTTCACATTACGAATGCAACAACATACATGGTACAATAAGCACACATACATTTTACATTTGTTACCAGATGTAAAACTTGAAATATGAGGACAAGGGTACTTCAACCTGAATTCGGATTCATGAATGCATCTTCTAAAGAAAACGATCTATTATTAGAGATATTTTTATCCTTTTTTGGATATTACTCATGTATAATCTTATAACCCTTAGCATGTATTTAGTTTGCCAAAATATTGCTCTAAAGTTCCAAAAACTGTTCTTCACACTGGAAAGAGAAATGTTTCCTTAATTGAACAATATGTAATAAATGACAGGATCAAAAGAGAGAATTTTTTTTTAAAGAAGCAGCATAATTGTCAGATCATAATTATTGCTTAAAAATTGTGCCCAGATCTTAATAATTGTTGACGGGCTTTTATCCAAAAACGATTGGCTAGTACAAGTGAGACAGGAAAAATGCTTATCTGCCTATGAATCGGGAATTCCAGAAAGGGCTACATATTTGCGAACTGGAACCTGCATTCCCCTGTGTTACTTACACACTGGATGACTGAATGTGAATTCCATTTTCTTTAACCCCTTCCTATTCAAGGAGTGGATCTTAGACTAATCCCACTGGCATCTCCTGAGAACTTGGGAGAAATGCAGACTCTTGATCCCACTCCACAATCAAAATCTGTGCTTTAAAAAGATGTCTAGGGGCGGTGCCTGTGGCTCAAAGGAGTGGGGCACTGGCCCCATATACCAGACGTGGTGGGTTCAAACCTGGCCCTGGACAAAAACTGCAAAAAAAAATAAATAAATAAAAAATAAATCGATAAAAAGCTGTCTAGGTGATTTCTATGCACATGCAGTTTCAGGAACCAGTGCTCCTGGTCAGCAGGGAATTCAAACTTAGGTTGGAAATGCAGGCTAGCTGGGCCTCTGTAAAAAGCTATCCTGCCCATAAATGTTACTTTTCTTTCTTTCTTACACAGAAAAGAGAGGAAGTACCTATCGGACAAAGACGATGGATCCACCCAACCTACAGAACCCTCTAGAAGTACAATTTTGCTTTGCTTTGGTTAACAATTCATGTCCTAGAAATATGAGGTCTGTGCCGAGTGTCTGGGCCATGTACATGGTCATGGTCGGGGCTATCGTGATGACCATGCTGGGCAACCTGGTCGTGATCGTTTCCATCGCTCACTTTAAGCAGCTCCACTCCCCAACCAACTTCCTGATCCTTTCCATGGCCACCACTGACTTTTTGCTGAGCTGCCTGGTCATGCCCTTTAGTATGATCAGGTCCGTCGAGTCCTGCTGGTACTTTGGAGACCTCTTTTGCAAAGTCCACAGCTGCTGTGACATCATGCTCTGCACCACCTCCATCTTTCACCTCTGCTTCATCTCAGTTGACCGCTACTATGCTGTTTGTGACCCCCTGCATTATGTCACCAAAATTACCATCCCTGTTATAGAGGTGTTTTTACTCATCAGTTGGTCCATTCCCCTCGTTTTTGCCTTTGGCCTGGTGTTCTCAGAATTAAACACAATTGGTACTGAAGATTTTGTTGCAGCCATTGACTGCACAGGTCTCTGTGTGCTAATATTTAACAAGCTCTGGGGGGTACTGGCCTCCTTTATAGCTTTCTTTCTCCCTGGGACAGTCATGGTGGGGATTTACATACACATTTTCACGGTCGCCAGGAAGCATGCTAAGCAAATTGGCACAGGTCCTGGGACAAAACAGGGTGGACAGAACAGAATGAAGGCATCGTCCAAGAAAGAAAGCAAGGCCACCAAGACCTTAAGCATAGTCATGGGGGTGTTCGTGTTGTGCTGGCTGCCCTTTTTTATCTTAACCATCACAGACCCTTTCATTAATTTCACAACCCCTGAGGACTTGTACAATGTCTTCCTCTGGCTGGGTTATTTCAACTCCACTTTCAATCCCATTATATATGGCATGTTTTATCCTTGGTTTCGAAAGGCACTGAGGATGATTGTCACAGGAATGATCTTCTACCCTGACTCTTCCACCGTGAGCTTGTTTCCCGCGCATGCCTAGGCAGCGGATCTCATTCTCTGGGGTTCTTTTCTGCCTAGGAATCCTAAATGCCATCTCTCCACAAAATAGGGACATGGATTGACTAGATAAGGAGGTTCTTCCATTGGTAGAAAGGACCCTAAGTAGGGGCAAAAGACCAGACCTAGCCTCTGGGTTCACCAGAGCTACAAAGGCAGTCCATTTCTGGGCTTCTGGGAAAGGCACCTCTGACAACAAGAGAGCTCTCTTCCAAGGCTTGCTGATTCCTGAAATTCCAAATTTAGGAATTTAGATGTTTCACTTCTTTAGCTTAAATCAAGTAAGAATTTTCTCCATTTAACTCATAAATATCACCCTTGGAGACACAGTCGGTCTTTGCAGTCACTGACAGTGTCTCTAACTTGATCTACATCTTTCTTGGGGTTATTATTGCTTATTAGGGGAGGGGAAGAGAGCTGAGCACATTGGAAGCCCAAGTGACACGGAAGGGGAGGAGGAAGCAGACAGCTGTGGTGATTTCCAATTTTATTGGTTCTGATTTCAGCTTCTTTTCAGAAAGAATTGATGTGAGATTTGCAAATATTTAATAAAATTGAACTGTCTTTCTAAATGAGAAGAATGAGTACAGAAAGAGTTCAGGAAAATATTCTTTCTCCCAATATACACTTTGGATCTCTGCATACATGCACCCTGCATACTGCGTGTGTACACACAGGGGGTGTGCCCACATCTGTGGATACATGTTAATCATTCACACAGATTGAACTTCATTCACAGAACTGAAGCCTCTCCGTCCCCCAGGGTTTTAGGATAGTATCTGTGGCCTCAGCGAATACCTGTTCCCCACATTCTTTTGGTCTTTTCTTCCTCCTGTTACCTCATAAGTTTATTTCACCAAATTTTATTCTTTATAATCCCCTTTCATAGTTTCACCATTTCTTTATTTTTCTAATCCAGCGGTTCTCAATTTTGCCCCTTGTGGACATTTGGCAATGTCTGCAGACATTTTTGGTTGTCCCGTAAACACGCTACAATGTTCAGGACGGCTCCCCACAATGAAGGACCCTGGTGGATGAGATGATGGAGTATCTTTTCAGATGTTCCACCGAGATCTCAAACTCAGCCCATCTGACATCTTTCTTCTGTGCTCACCCCGACTAGCCCCACACCCCTCTCTCCTGACTCCTGCTTTGTGCCTGAGTTATTTGCACACAGGTGTGTTGATCCCGCTTTGAGACTATAAACTTCTTGTGTGAGACTATGTCCTGATTTTGTTCATTTCTGTAGCCAGCAGTGTCTGGCACGGTACCTTTCCCATAAAAATCTTTTAATACATTCACTGGATAAAAGAAACAACATTTTGGGGAAAAGGAAGACATTCAGATTCACAGCAATTAGAAAGCAAAGCATGGAGGGGAAGTGAGGGCCCCTTCTCCCGGGAGAGAAGATAGAGTAATGAGTCTATGTGTAAGGAAGAAATCAAACTGGATTTAATTCCTGTTTTTCTGGGCTTTTGTCATGTGCACAATGCTATGCTGGGGGATTTGGGGATAGGTCAACAGAGGCGCATAGTGAGAAATGACTAACCAACTCAGAATGCCACGTCTTCATGCCGCGTCTAGCATGAAGCTATCATGCCCACGCAGTAGGCTTCCTGAAAATAGAAAATAAGTCTCCCCTCCCCATTCACAATGCCTTAAAAGTTTAAGTGGTTTTATAGAAAAGTTTGGTCATATAGAGTATTATTGACTATTTTGTGGGTTGATAGATTCTTTGGGAAATTTCTTAAATGGAGTCGTTAGCTAGATGGACTTTCTATCCAACAGAATATACCCATAATCTTAGGATCTGTTTATAGGAGTCTGGAGCAATTTATTCATCAGCATTTGCCTATCTTTGCAGGAAGCAAGGCTAATTTTCATAATAATTACTTTAAGGCAAGGGTAGGTTGGAAAGAGAAAACATGTTACCATTGCCACAAGTTTAATGTTAAGTGTATTTTATTGCATATTAATTCTCATAGTAATATCAAAACATTCAATTAACCAAAGTCTGATCCTCTGACCTGGCCCAGTGACAACACACATCCATGAGGACATCTTGATCTTAATGTTTCTCGTGTTCATATACTTCAATCTGAAAGGTTTTCATAAGCCTTTTTACTTCATTGAATATAGTCTTGCTCTGGTATCTTTGGGGAAACTACCTGTTACTCCAAAATACCTTTAATAACATCTCTAATCAGTTGATAATTCCCAGTACTCTCTCATTCTACATGTTCTATTGAACATGGGTGACTTGCTGAGGTCAAAAATTATAATTCAGTATTTTTTTTTTTTTGAGACAGAGTCCCACTTTATTGGCCTCAGTAGAGTGCTATGGCATCATAGCTCACAGCAATCGCATATTCTTGGGCTCAAGTGATGCTCTTGCCTCATCTTCCACAGTAGCTGGGACTATGGGAGCCTACCACAATGCCTAGCTACTTTTTTTAGAGACGGAGTCTCCAAGTCTTGCTTTTGTTTAAGCTGGTCTGGAACTCCTGAACTCAAGCAATCCACACACCTCAGCCTCCCACAGTGCTAGGATTACAGGTGTGAGCCACTGCACCTGGCCTAATTTTAATGCAACAACTTAGGTGCTGAGATGTTTCAGTAAATTAATTATCATAGGAGACAAGACAGTAAGATAAAAACTGAAGTTTGAGATACTTAGCAGAGTACTAGTTTCTTCACTTCTGATGACAGTAATTTAATCCTTTAGGAGATTTCCTTTGCTCCTAATCCTGAAGGCAACATTCAGAGGCTGATATGCTCCTTTTGAGGAGTCAAACCAACAGAATTCCTCAGGCCGTTGGCCAAATTAGACCTCATCCCAGGTCCTGATAGGATAGCAGAGCACCCTCTGATGGCAGGAGCATTTCACAGTTCCCTTTCCACAATCAGCCCCCCTTCCTCTTTGTGAGTTCAATAAGGACATTTGAACTGGGCATCTGCCAGACTGAATAGGAAGAGCAGCCATTCATACGGCACATACTTCCTTTCTCATCTGATCTTCAAGACACAAGATGTGTGGCTTAATATCAAGGAACTGGAGTCTGGGGCCACACATAGTATCACCCTTCTTCTAGACCAGTATTTTCTTTTTGTCCAGCAGTGACAGAAGAGCTAAATAGGGGAGAGATGAAGGAGCAGGTGGAAGCTTCTGCTACAGTCGTAATCATTTCTTAACTTAATAAGGGACTTTTACCATTAACAAGGGTGTCCACAAATGTTAGCTCAATCATTTCTCACCATAGCTGTCCATGCTCTTCCCAGGCTAGTTCAAGAAGTGAAGCAGCTCATCATTATCCCTAATCTGACTCCCCTCTATCCAGGACTCATCTAGGTTGAACAGAGTAGACATTATCTCAGGAGGATGGTTACTGTTACAAACTTTTGCCTTCTGTATTAACAGTCACTTAGTACAATCAATATTTATTAAGTACCTACTATGTGCCAAATGTTGCACTGAGTTCTTGTGGTTCAGAGATGTAATAAAACTCAAACCCTGACCTCCAGGGATGTAAGCCCTACTGAAAGAGATCATGGCCACCCAATAACACTGCAAGGTCATAGGCCTTACCATAGGGCCAGGCATAGGAAGCCGTGAGAGCATGGAGAGAAAACAGTTAGCCTGGCTGGGGTTTGGGGGAGACTGCCTGCATTTTAAGCAAAGGAATGTACTGTCAGAGCATCTATTAGAGTTGGAGGAAAAACTGGGGAAAGGGAGTTGGCACATGAGAAAAGGGGTCACTGAGCTAATTTCCTAAAGGTTATTACCTGAGGGAACAAGTTGGAACACTACACCTGGCTTTCTTCACTCTTTTTGACCTCCTCCATCTAGTTCTACAAGTCTCTGTGGAAGATATAATCTGACGTCACTTTAGAAATCTATTTTTGTATCAGTTCTATGTACATTGCGAAATAGCTTCTTTCTGACCATAAAGAGGCACGCCAGTTTCTAGGATACCAAGAAAGAGAGAGAGTAGAATATGATCATACATGTCATCAACGATATCCCTATAAGGTAGAGACGTATGGGTATGAGTGTAATCATATGCTCTCTTACCAGCGGGGAAACAGAGGGAGAGAATGAGTGATGGCACAGGAAATGACAAAACAGGAGTTCCCTATCTTCTTTCCAGTGAGATGTTTCATCTACCACACTTTCTTTCACCAACACAAAACATAGAACTTGAACACCAAGACGAAGTCCACGTGGGAGCCACCCATCTCCCCTTCACAAACCAAAGGACTTATCATCAATTATTCTCAGTTAGTTCTCATGTTGAGAGAAATGTACACAAATAATCCAAAAGCAGAAGAGATACATGGAACTTAGTAAAAATGAAATTAAATAAAAGAATTATATAGCCAGCCATCAGCAGGTAAGAATATCCTCAGTTCTCAGAACTCAGGAGTTAAAAAATATGTATATATATATATATATATATATATATCTCTCTCCAATGTCTTTAAATTTCACCTCTAATTAACCATCAGGGTAGATGATATCCTGTCTTGAGAAAGGAACTTAAAATAACTGAGAGCTGTGAATAGTGCAAACTAGGTCCCTTGGCACCTCTTCACTCCCTATTGGTATCATATCACATTGAGGAGTAGTTTCTATTGAGAGTATATAATCATTAACTAGATGAGCACGCTGCATTCCTCATGTCCACCTGCGATAAGACAGCCTCCTTCCCATGAAGGGATTCCTATTCCCACCTGCGTAAGTAGCTTAGCAACACTGAATTCAATTTATTAGAATTTGGTTAGTAGTTTACAAGCTAGGATTGAGATAGATAAAATTATTTTTCATATCAGGTAGTTCTCTCAAAATGTATGCAAAACTAAAATAGGGAAAATTTAAAAAGTACTTGTGTGCTGACTTTTTCTTTTAGAAAGAGTCAACATGTAATCATATACTTTAACTGCTTATTTTATTGTCCATTTATTTAATTCTTGAAAGGAGGAGCTAGAAGTTACTCCTGCCTTAGGTAATAATTTATTAACAAGAATTGATTGATCAATTAATATTAATTAAGAATTAATATTCTTGTTAATAATTTATTAATAAGAATTGATTGGTTTACATCACAGCTTGCACCTCATTTTACATTTGACAAGTACCTTATCAAAATGGAAGTGACACCCTCTCAATAATTTTATGTTGTCTACTATGCAATAATCAGTTTTTCTTTGAGGAAACATTTAGCTTACATCCTTCTGTTCCCATAAGGATACTGTCTACACTGGTTTGAAAGTGCCCAGTCATGTAAACCGCGGCTAGCAGATTAACTCATGACATCTTGAATCCCACGCTGCAATTGATTTTCAGGGCATATTTGATTCAGTACCCAGGGAAATTGTAACAGATTCCAAATTGTCCTTTAGTTTCCTCCTCTTGGTTTCTTTCTCTTATTATTTAGCAGAAGAAGCAATTTTTTTCCAGTGGAGAAAGCGGCCAGTTCCCAGAGAGAGAGAGGAAGAAGAGAAACTATAAATGAGCTCTGTCCTCATCCAAGGTGCTGAAGATCACCCTGCAGCTTTCTGCTACCAGGTGAATGGGTCTTGCCCCAGGACAGTCCATCCTCTGGGCATCCAGTTGGTCATCTACCTGGCCTGTGCGGCAGGCATGCTGACTACAGTGCTAGGGAATTTGTTTGTGGTGTTTGCTGTGTCCTACTTCAAAGCGCTTCACACTCCCACCAACTTCTTGCTGCTTTCCTTGGCTCTGGCTGACTTGTTTCTGGGTCTGCTGGTGCTGCCCTTCAGCACCATTCGCTCAGTGGAGAGCTGCTGGTTCTTCGGGGACCTTCTCTGCCGCCTGCACACCTACCTGGACACCCTCTTCTGCCTCACCTCCATCTTCCATCTTTGTTTCATTTCCATTGACCGCCACTGCGCCATCTGTGACCCCCTGCTCTATCCCTCCAAGTTCACAGTCAAGGTGGCCCTCAGGTACATCCTGGCAGGCTGGGGAGTACCTGCGACTTACACTGCCTTCTTCCTCTACACGGATGTGTTAGAGACAGGCCTCAGCCAGTGGCTGGAAGAGATGCCTTGTGTGGGCAGTTGCCAGCTACTGTTCAATAAGTTTTGGGGCTGGTTAAACTTCCCTGTGTTCTTTTTCCCCTGCCTCATCATGATGAGTTTGTATGTGAAGATATTTGTGGTTGCTACCAGGCAGGCTCAGCAGATCAGCACGATGAGCAAAAGCTTGGCTGGGGCTGCCAAGCGTGAGAGAAAAGCTGCCAAGACGCTGGGCATTGCTGTGGGCATTTACCTCTTGTGCTGGCTGCCGTTCACCATAGACACGATGGTTGATAGCCTCCTTAGCTTTGTCACACCACCACTGGTCTTTGACATTTTTATCTGGTTTGCTTACTTCAACTCAGCCTGCAATCCTATCATCTATGTCTTTTCCTACCGGTGGTTCAGGAAAGCACTGAAACTCATCCTAAGTCAAGCGGTCTTCTCGCCACAGACACGCACTATTGATTTGTACCAAGAATGATTCCCTCTGCTAAGTCCAAGGTAGGGGGAGGGCCTCATAGGAAGGACCAGGGGTGTTGTGAACATGGGCTATATGGTGTCATGACTTTGTCAGCATGCTTCCAAGGCAGCTTGGCTTAAGTGGAGGAGAGAAATAATCTTCCCCATTTGGAAGGAGAGCACATCTCTCATTCAGTGTTTTGATAGTTAAATGTAGGACAAGGGTCATCTTAATATCCACTGGATAAGCCACTGCAAATATTTGGCTCCTGATTTGTGGCATCTTTGAAACAACTAAGAGCTGGGGTGGATGGAAAAGGGCATCAATTTCTAAGTTCTTACTGTGGTTCTGCCACCTGGCAGTGGTCAGGTTGGACTTGAGCAGTCTTTGAACCATCCTCCTCCTGATGCAGCAGAGTTTCCTCATCTAGAAAATTAGGAGTTTGATATAGGTCTAGTCAAAATTTCTAATTCTTTCTGGTTGAGTTTAGGAAGGTGGCATGCTTCCAGGTATTGGTTCATTTCTTCCATATTTTCATATTTCTGAGAATAGAAATTTTGGTAGTAATCCTTGGGGATTTTTTGTATTTCTGTGGTATCTGCTATTGTTTCCCCTTTATCATTTCCTATTGAAATTATTAGAGATTTTACTTTTCTGTTTCAGGTTAGTCTAGCCAAAGTTTCATCAATTTTATTAATCTTTTCAAAAAACCAACATTTTGTTTCATTGACCTTCTGAATGATTCCTTTGTTTTCAATTTCACTTATTTATTTATTTATGATAGAGTCTCACTATGTCACCCTTGATAGAGTGCTGTAGCATCATAGCTCACAGCAACCTCCAACTCTTGAGCTTAAGCAATTCTCTTTCCTTAGCCTCCCAAGTAGCTGGGACTACAGGCACCTGCCACAATGCCTGGCTATTTTTGTTGTTGTTATTGTTGCAGTTGTCATTGTTGTTTAGCTGGCCCAGGCCAGGTTCAAACCTGCCAGGCCTGGTGTATGTGGCTGGCACTGTAACCATGGTGCTATGGGCTCTGAGCCTGTTTTCAATTTCATTTAATTCTGGTCTGCAAAGGTATGAATAACTAAGAGTAAATTATAAATATTTTACCACAAAAAATAAGTAAGTGAGGTGATGACTATGTTAATCAGTTTGATTTAAGCATTCCACATTGTATCAAATCATCACCTTGTATGACATAAGTGTATGCAGTTATGATTTTAATTAAAAATTAATTAAAAAATAAATAAAAGGTGCAAAAAACAAAAGAAAATTAGGAGTTTGTACTGTTTCCTTCCTAAAGGGTCCTTAAGTGAATATATTGTGTAATATAACTTTGGGAAACCAGAATGTCTCTTTTTTAAAATGTTCATTTTAGAATCCCTGTGTCCTTAGAGCCCAAGGACTCTAGACACATCTGTAAGCTATGTTGTCCATTTGAATAATATGCATTATATTATCTGCATTATAAACCAGAAGAAATATTTTCATCATTTTAAAGGTAATTGAAACTTAAAGTACATGGAATATTTTAAATTTCAATTATTAACATTTTGCTATTTCAATATCTCCTTCTTTAAACTTTCATCACGTAAGTTAGACCTACTATCTTTCCTAGAACACCAGTACATGGTTTCTTTACAAAGTACTTGTGCCACATGCTTGCTCAGAATGGAACTGAGGTTTCTCCGCAGTGATTACTGGTAAAGGTATTAGCAACTTCTATGTACATTTCCCTCTGTCTTCATCCTGAATATTTTCCTAAAGGCCTTTAGGCACCCTACTTCCATATTCCTTACTGATTTTTTTCAAATGGATGTTCCTTATTTGTAAAACTTCTTTGTAAATTAGTTTAAAGCCTCTGCAGTACAGATGCATAGACAGGTGTTGATACAGATACAGATACATCAGTCTCAATCAATAAACTTGGAAAGGGAATGAGTGAATGTGTTTCAAAAACAATTCATATGTCAACACTCATAGAGAGTTAGCCATTACACAGGTGACTGGAAGCATCCACTCTGAATCTTTAAAGAAGAAAAAGTTTAATTCTTTGTATTATCAATGAATCTCAGACAACAAAAAAAAGTAAAAGTCCTATTTTGCCAATGAAGTTAGCTTAAATGAATTTATTTCATGATATATGTATGTATATATATATATAAGAGAGAGAGAAAGGAAGTAATTATACACATGTATATATATGTATATATTTGCTAGAGAGATAACCTATATGACCTAAATTTTCTTTTATAAAAATTATTATAATTTTTTTGTATTTTTTAATGCTTAATTTTTCTTTGGAAATAATTATTGTTTCTTTTCCATTAACTCTTAAGCATTATTAAATAATTAAATTGCAAATGAATTATAAATGAAAACTTACCCCAGTATGTACAGTTTTGAGACATTAAGAAGCTAGGAATACTGTGCTTTAAATGTTTGAGACATTAAGAAGCTAGGAATACTGTGCTTTAAATGTTTATACCACCAATGAACCAGTGAAGAAAGAGAGCTGAAATCACACCTCTGGTAGACACTACAAAGGGAAACATGAGCTGGTGGGTGAACAGGTGTGGGGATTTGAAGTCCAGCTCCTTTATCATCTTAGATGTAAGACCAGGGTCTAAGAAGCAAATCCATTGCACCCAGGAAATTCGTTTAAGCCCTTAGAGCAGTGATTTTCAACTGGTGTGCCTGAGGTACATTGGTGTGCTGTGAGAGGGTCTTAGGTGTCCTAGTAATTATAACTATAATTCACAACATATAAATTAGTCATTATTTTATTTTATTCTATGATTATTTATTTATTTATTTATTTTTGTCACTCTTAGTAGAGTGCTGTGGTGCCACAGCTCACAGCAACCTCAAACTCTTGGGCTCAAGTGATCCTCTTGCCTCAGCCTCCCAAGTAGCTGGGACTACAGGTGCCCACCCCAATGCCTGGCTTATTTTAAAGATGAGGTCTTGCTGTTGCTCACATTGGTCTCAAACTTGTGAGCTCAGGCAATCCACCTGCCTCAGCCTCCCAGAATGCTAGGATTACAGGCATGAGCCAGCATGCCCAGGCTAGTCAGCCCCATTCCCAATCCACCTATTATGGCAGTTTTTGTCCTGGGACTGTAAGTGCCTGGCTGGTTCACCAGGTGGAACCCTGTGTACTAGTCACTTTCATAGGAGCAGAAAATGAGTCTTCTTCTAGTACATATTATCATCTTCTGCTATATCAGTGGTTCTCAACCTTCCTTATGCCGTGGCCCTTTAATACAGTTCCTATGGGTCTTGAGAGATGTAGAAGATTGCCTTAGACAGGCCTCTGGAGTGAAGAAAAGGGAAGACGGCATAGGGAAGGAACTAACTTTACTGAGACCCTATAATATTCTGTATCTCACTTAATGATCATTTACTCTGCAAGGTGGATATTACAAACCTCATGTTATGGACAAGGTACACAGAGATTCAACAGTTTAAGGACACACATAAGGGTGTCCTTATTTGAAAGCTTTTAGCCTATCTCCTATTTCTTTTAGATATTAAAGGAAACTGGACAGCTAATAAATCTGTGAGTTGGACTAACATTTAAAAGCAGATAGGAGATTTTGGTTTCTTGTGGGTCATAGAAACACAAGGTCATGGGTGCCATGGTATAATGTTTATACCACCAATGAACCAGTGAAGAAAGAGAGCTGAAATCACACCTCTGGTAGACACTACAAAGGGAAACATGAGCTGGTGGGTGAACAGGTGTGGGGATTTGAAGTCCAGCTCCTTTATCATCTTAGATGTAAGACCAGGGTCTAAGAAGCAAATCCATTGCACCCAGGAAATTCGTTTAAGCCCTTAGAGCAGTGATTTTCAACTGGTGTGCCTGAGGTACATTGGTGTGCTGTGAGAGGGTCTTAGGTGTCCTAGTAAAAATTTTAAAGATTATTAATTAAATTATTTTCAAAAGAAGTTCAAAGCACAGTAAGTATGTTCCTTTTTTTTACTCTTTTATTTTGTTTAACATAATTTAAGTGTGCCATAGAAGTTTAACTATAGGTTCATGTGTGCTGTGAGATAAAAAAAAGTTTGAAAACACTGCCTTAGCAAATGAAGACCTGTATTCAGCAACATTCCCCTGATGTCTGAGTAAAACGTTCAAGGTGATACTTCACTGTTCTGCAATAATAAGATTTACTCTCTCTTGTTGAGTGAAATTAACTACATTTAAGGCAAGTGTTCTTAATTTTCTATGCCATGGACTTATTTGGCACTCTGGTAAAGACTATGGACCCTGTCTCAGAAAAGATTTTTAAGTAGATAATTAAAAAAAAAAACCATAGAATTATAAAGGAAAACAATCATGTGAAAATACAGTTACTAAGCTATCCTAGAAATAGCCAAGTTTGTATAATTGTCTGTGTAATTCTTTCAGAAAGCATCAAATAACAGGATCTGCTGGCAGGTGCAAAAACTATTGTAATTTCAAAGTATGTGAGCATAAATGAAATTGCACAATATCTGTAACAAATATGCTGCAATGTCAATGTATTAATGTCTAGGGGTGAAAAAATCGGCAGTGCTAATATCATTGTGGGTTTTGCCTACATGTAAAACAGAAAAAAGTGATAAAATTTCAGGTACAGTTTAGTGAATATAAACATAAAATATTTTCTCTATATAAGTTCGTGGAAGTCCTGATTTAAGAACCTCCTTCAAATGTGAACATTAGGCCAGCCTTCTGATCTTGATAGCTTTGTGATCACATGTGAACAGAAGGCAGTGACATTCAGACTCACCGTTAGCTGCTGAGAAGCTGAAGCCCGATGAATACTTTGCTTCAAGAGTATTCCACTAGAAAATAGTACCACAGGCACAGCCATTGGTGTTTTTGTGCTATTTAGAATTTTTGTGTCTCTTTATAAACAACACTGATGTTTTTGTGCTATTTAGAATTTTTGTGTCTCTTATAAACCTCCTGTTTCACAAAATGTATCAGCATAGTTTTAAATTCCAGGCTAGATCTTTCCTGTTTTGCCTAAACTTTGAAAATTTTTTGGTCTTTCAATTATATTGCTTTCCTTTTTTTTTTTTTTTTTGGTAAATTGC